GTCTTGGAGAGGAAGGGAATATGCCCTATTTCACTGGTGGTTATAAGTTTTTGTACCAAGGACAATCATTTTGACTGGCACCACTAAGCCCTTTTCCCCATTTATCTATTGAGAGAATATTGGATATCTTGCTTCTCTCTTAGTGACATAAATTATTTGAGAGGAGAGATTGAACTACCAAACCAAACACCAACAATAATGATGCCTTATTAGAGACCCAAATAGCCCAAATCCTTTCCAAACCATTTTTGTAGTTGAAAAGAATTTTCAGTACATATTGTGTTAGCACATCTCCCCTGCCTCTCTGTACCTTAATTATCTTGAAAATGATGACATGTGCAGCAACATTAATAAACATCTACTTGCATTTTTAGTGAAGCATACGCTAATCATCCCAAAGTGGTGGTGTTAAGCCCTTAGCAGATTTATTTTCCCACCTCCTATAACTTCATCTCCAAATATGTGGGCAGATTTTTCAGGGTCAAGGGTTTAGGATTATTGTTTTCCTTGACCATGATAATACCTTGGAACCATATTTTTCCTGTAAGGAAACCTGACAACATAAATCTTAGTCTCTTGAGTCTGCCAGGGCTTTTCTGATGTGTAATTAGAAAGATAACAACTGTATGTTCAGCCAGATCTAGAATTAGACATCTGTGAGGTCTCCTGTGATTTATCATTTTATAGTCTTTTCATTGCTGCTGTGAGGTATTGTGGTTGTAAATTAATTTTTTTATTTGTTTAGACTGGGTAATACATTCATGAGGTTCAACTCCCAAAGTCTAGAAGAACGTGTGGGGAAAAGTAGTCTTCTCATCCCTATTCCCCAGCTTCCCTTTCTCCTGTCCATCGACAAGCACCATCCCCTCCCAGGATAGTCTACACATTCATAAGCAAACGTGAATGCATATTTTTTTCTTTTTGTTCAAATAGCATGCCATACATACTATTTATATCAGTCAGGGTTCATTTGGGGAAACAGAACCATATGGATATTATGGAATAAAATATTTAAGAATAAGACCTCATACATTTGTAGATGAAGCTGACGAAGCAAGAGTCTGAAAGGGGAAGCTTGGAGGATCACTAATTTTGAAGCAGTGGCACAGGTGGACAAATCAAAGCTTTCCAGGGAGCCTGGAAACCCAGGAACATCAAATTGTTAGGGTAGGACTGCGATGGAGGGCTGGTAGAGAAATCCTGAGAACAGTGGTGTCAAATAGAACTTTCTGTGATGTGGAAAACTTTTTATTTCTGCACTAGCCAATATGGTAACCATTAATCACTTGTGGTTATTGAACACTTGAAATGTGCCAAGTGTGACTAAAAGATTTGAATTTTTTTTTAATTTATTTATTCAGGATATTATGGGGGTACAAACATTTTGGTTACATGTAATGCTGTTTGCCCTGCCCAAGCCAGGGCTACACGCGTGTCCCTCCCACATACAGTGCATTCTGCTTCCATTAGTTGTGAATTTCCTCCCTCAAGACTTGAATTTTTAATTCAATTTTAATTAAATCATTATAGCACTATGTGGAGGGGGGTTCCAGAAATGTTGGTCAAAGGATACAAAATTTCAGTTAGATAGGAAGAAAATAAGTTCAAGAGATCAACTGGACAACATGGTGACTATAGCCAATAACAATGTATTGATTATGTTCTTGAAAATTGCTAAGAGAGATTTTAAGTGTTTTCACCACAAAAATATAAGTGGGGGAAGGCATATGTTAATTTGCTTAATTTATCCATTCCACAGTGCATACATATTTGAAAACAACATGTTGTATATAATAAATATATGCAATTTTTATTTGTTGATTTAAAAGAATTAGCAAGTTAGTTAAAGATAAATAAATAGCAACATGTGGCCAGTGGCTACCATATTGGACAGCACAGCTTTAAAAGGGTACATCTCATTGTGGGCCTAGATTTGCTGTTAACCAACAGAAGTGGCAGTTGAGAAAAAGAGCTGTACACAGAGCAGAGGAGAGCAGGCATAGCTGGTACCTGCAGGCACCTCTGCGTCTGTGTCACTATTTTCTTTTTCTTTTTTTCTTTTCTTTTCCTTTTTTTTTTTTTTTAAGACAGAGTCTTGCTCCATCACCCAGTGTAGAGTACAGTGGCATCATCATAGCTCCCTGCAACCTCAAACTCCTGGGCTCAAGCGATCCTCTTGCCTCAGCCCCAGGCCCATGCCATGATGCCCAGCTAATTTTTCTATTTTTAGAAGAGATGGGAGTCTCACTCTTGTACAAGCTGGTCTCGAACTCCTGAGCTCAAGCGATCCTCCCACCTCAGCCTCCCAGAGTAGTAGGATTACAGGTGTGAGCCACCATGCCTGTCCATCTGTGTCACTATTAACCACAATCACCTTCAGAGCATAAAGCCTTCTGCTTCACATTCCACCTTCCAAAATCTCATTTGAATTTCTCTTTTGTTTAATTCAGAACAATACAGGGAAGAATATTCTGGGAAACATAATTCTAGCTTAGCAGATTGACAAGGTATAAAACCATTAAACAAACTTTTTTTTCACCTAATAGTATATTGTGAAGATCTTAGCATACTAGTACATAAAGAATTCCTCATAATTTTACACAACTTCTATGTTGTACATTATACAATATGCAGTATATCACTGTTCACTTAGCTGCTTATTTTTTATAATTTATTGATTTTTGCATTGTTTTCATCTTTTGCTGTAGTCTTTATGCAGCATCAAATAATTTTGAATTTATGTCACTTAGGAAGTATATGTGTGTGTATATGTAGGGAAAATACCTAGAAGTGCTGTGTCAAAGCCTATGTGGATCAAAAACTTAAATATTAAATAAGAAAAAGAAATATTAAAATACTGAAAGACTCAATAGAGATGTGTTCTTATAACCTTGAAGCGAGAAAGACATTTTTAACTATGACATAAAACCCAATATCCATAAAGGAAAATATTGATATAAAAGCAAATTTTCTAGAAATACACAGCAGAACCTATGATATGACTATCAATTTTTAAACAAATATCTCCAGTAAATGATGTTCTAACAGAAACTTACTTTTTTTGTAAATCACACGCCAAACCTGATTTCAAATTATATAGATCCTCAGGTTGTAGTAGTCTACTCGTATTTGGTCATTTTGGACATGTCTATGCTTCATTAGGAAAAGAAGAGAGTTTCTGTTTAGTTTGATTCCTCCCTTCCTTTCTTCTTTCCCTCTTTTCCTTCCCTACTTCCTTGGATTTCTAAGCAAATGCAGTATAATCATGGTATTGAATGTTGAAATCGAAAAAGAAAGGGCACAGAACAGAAAAGTCATTGGACCACCAGCCAGACCCTTTTCTGCTCCTTACTAGCTCTGTGACTTTGTGAATATCATTACTAGACCTCATTAGGGAGAGGAATTGTCTATTAATTGATTTTTTTTTCCCTTTTATAGTGGCTACATCAGTACCTAGTACAGAAATGTTTGTCAGTCTTACCTCTCTGGGACTGAAATTCCTTGTTTATAAATTGTGGGCACCAAGCTTCCTCATGCGTTATCTTGAGAATAACATGGAATAATATTAATATATATGAGAGGGTTTTGTTAACCTTTGGTAATTTATACCTATTTAAGGAATTATCATTTTGAAAGGGGACTGAGCTTGCAGGAGAAATATTAATATTAGTATAGTAGAAGCATTATAATGTAGCTCCAGGCCTGGAAATCGGGAGACATGAACTCACTCTATCCCTTACTTTGACATCCTGGACAAGTTACTTCAGCCCTCTAGAATACAGTTTCCTCTTCCGGTAACTTTGGAAAGTTTAAAACTTTATGCAAATGTGAACTACAACTTAGGTATGACAGTGTTGACACAGATTACTTCTGGAACTCAAAGTATTCTTGCTTTTATCTGTTTCCATTAATCTGGCACACATTTACTGAAGCATGCAAGATACGTGCTAGGTGCTATATCCCATTTTTGTGTATGTGTTCTTCTCTAATCCAATTTGCTGCCCTTGAATTTTTTCATTAATTGAATTTCTGTGATAACTGTACTAAGGGACATCCTTGAAGAATATTTGAAATATTTGATTAATTCTAACTATGGCTCATTTTGATTTAGAAGAGGGCCGGCCTTATGCTGTACGTAACAAAATGTCACATTTAAAGCAAATAAGATTCTAAAACAAAAGCTTTACTTGTGGTGCTTTTTTAAAAATGTTCTCAGACAGCCGAGATCAGCAGAATTTTTATTAGAGCCTCAAAACATAATTTTTAGATTTCTGGAAATACATGGTACTCACAATAGAGGATATTGAATCAAAGAATTTAATCTTTCACCTTTTCAATCATTCTCATAACTTCATACCCTTTAGAGCATGATTTTGAGGCCCACACAGCTATTTTCTGTCTTTCCTCAACAGGAATGAATAAAAGTTGGTATGGTAGGGGGAATATTTTATGAGAATTAAGATAATTAAGGTGATAGTATTTTTATTTATACCTTTATGTTTGCAAACTTGAAATAACTGCGTTTTTTCCCTCAGGAGTTTATAAAGAGAAAAAAATCAAGTATTAATAAAATGGCAGGACCACAGATAAATTATAGATCAGCATTTTAATAAGCAAGATAATCAGATTGATTCTAAACCTCCCTACTAGTTTTTAACATTTGGTTAAATTGTTTGTCTTTATCTGATGAAGATTATTATTATTTGTATTATTTTTCATAGTGTTTACCTTAATCATAGCCTCATTTATAGCATTTAGACTTCCAAGAATATAATGGTGAATATAGCTTTCAAAATTTTCAAGCTACACAAGTATGAATTTACTTTCTAGATTTGTGGACAACTTCTTTTTAAAACTATCACTTTCCCTCAGCTTAACACTGAAGGTGGGATACGTACAGTGGATGAATCTGCCTTGTTCTTATTGTCTAATAGTCTCAGGAATAGCAAGTCTTCATTTAAGGTATACTTTTTTTAAAAAATGTAACCCCTTTTTTTCAGACCTCTTAAGCCACGAAAATGCAGCAACGCTGAATGATGTAAAGACACTGGTCCAGCAGCTATACACCACACTGTGCATTGAGCAGCACCAGTTAAACAAGGAAAGGGAGCTTATTGAAAGATTAGAGGATCTCAAAGAACAACTGGCTCCCCTGGAAAAGGTGAAAATTCAAATCTCAGATTTTTCTCATCACCTATATTTTTTCCAGAGCGTACATGTTTCTGTTTTTTCTTCTAAGTTTTATGCAATTGAGTCATGTCTCAAATTAGTCCACTAGTTTATGGGACCGAACCTGAAGTTCCAATCAAAGCTAAGAAAGGACTTTAAAAGGAATAGTTTGGAGGCTTGATAATGGACTTAGAGCTTTGAGGTTTAAATATACTGCCCTGGGAAGGAAAAACTAATGATGATACCATTTCGATTGGGGGATGAAAGCAATAATGAGATTAATTTTTATGCATTGCCAAATGCCTAAACCTGTGTCTCTCGAAAATAAATAAATAAATAAATTCCCTTAAAACCGGATTTACCACCTTTAAAATAAAGATTGGAATAATTGTTGATCAGTAAAGGTTCTTGAGTATAGTAGATAATGATTTTAGCCAAAGTAAGAATTAATATGAGATTAGCCCTCTGTATCCATGTGTTCCACAACCACAGATTCAACCAACCTGGGATGAAAAACATTTGGGGGGAAAACCAATTAAAAAAAAACAATACAACAATAAAAAATAATACAAATTTAAAAACCAATATAACAACTATTTACATAGCATTTACGTTGTATTATAAGTAATCTAGAGATGATTTAAAGTATATGGGAGGATATGCCTAGGTCATATGCAAATACTATACCATTTTAATAGGGGACTTGAGCATCCACAGATTTTGATATCTGTGGGGGTCTTAGAACCAATATCCCACAGATACCGAGGGATGACTGTCCATGGAGTATTATGCAGCTATTAAAAATGATTATGTAGATCTAATTTGCTATAGAAAATATGTACTATGAAAAGTAAATTATAAAATTATACATACTATGATCCAATTTTTAAATGTGTTATGCATAAAGCTATGCACATTTATATATACATACACAAAGAAGGAATATATTCCAAAATTCTAATAGAGTAGTAGGATTATGATTGATTTTTCTTCTTTACACTTTCTGAATGTTTACAATGAACGTGTATCATTTTTTATGGTGATGGAATTGTTTCCATTTTAAAAAATTAGATTGTAAGGATTAAAGAGAACAAATACTCTTAATATTGTGCATTTTCTGATTTTATAAAAATAGTTATCATCATTTATCAAGTAGTTACTATGGGCTATGGATTGTACTAAGTGTTTTACTTGTATTCTCTTATTTTAATCCTCAGAACAACTCTGTAATGAAGTTAATGGTGATTTGCAGATCAGGGTCCCGAACTCAGCTGTTCTGAATCCAGAGTTCATGTTCTGCCTCTAGTATACCATTTGAGTTAAAAACTAATAATAGATTAAATCTTATACATAACACTGAGAAAATACTGGTATGTTTTCATTTTCCTCTTTCAAAGAAGGTAATCTTACGGTTAGATGAAGAGCTGTTGAAACTGAGCTTATTTTCCCCATATTTTCAGCCACTTCTAGGGTGAAACATAAAATAAATGCCCTAAAAAATAGTAATTCCTCAAAGATATTTTATCCAGTGAAAATTACAGATCAGATACTATAATACGTAGAAAGACAAACTGTATTTACTAGAATAGAGACTTTTGTCTAGATTGTGAGCCCTGCTTCTTTAGTGAACACAGAACAATTTAAGAGTTTTAAATTGTGTCTATGTCAAAATGCCTTATGATTGATCATGTGTGCCTAATAGGTACGAATTGAGATTAGCAGAAAAGCTGAGAAGAGGACCACTTTGGTGCTATGGGGTGGCCTTGCCTACATGGCCACACAGTTTGGCATTTTGGCCCGGCTGACCTGGTGGGAATATTCCTGGGACATCATGGAGCCAGTCACCTACTTCATCACTTACGGAAGTGCCATGGCAATGTATGCATATTTTGTAATGACACGCCAGGTAAGAAGTCCTCTTCAAATAAGTTTTCATGAGGTAACAATAAAGTTTTAGTTATCAAAGTAGTTCTCTTTTCTCTCATATTCTTTCTAAGGCCAGTTCTTTTTAAGTACTTATTTATCCTTTTTTTTGTTTTTTTTTTTTTTTTCAAGACAGAGTTTTACTCTATTGCCTGGGCTGAAGTGCCGTGGCATCAGCCTAGCTCACAGCAACCTCAAACTCCTAGGCTAAAGGGATCTTCCTGCCTCAGCCTCCCAAATAGCTGGGACTACAAGCATGCACCACCACACCCAGCTAATTTTTTTCTATTTTTAGTCACCCAGCTAACTTATTTTTTTTTTTTTTTTTGAGACAGAGTCTCACTCTGTTGCCCAGGAAAGAGCGAGTGCCATGGCGTCATCCTAGCTCACAGCAACCTCAAACTCCTGGGCTCAAGCAATCCTTCTGCCTCAGCCTCCCGAGTAGCTGGGACTACAGGCATGCGCCACCATGCCCGGCTAATTTTTTCTATGTATTTTTAGTTGTCCGATTAATTTCTTTCTCTTTTTAGTAGAGACGGGGTCTCGCTCTTGCTCAGGCTGGTCTCGAACTCCTGAGCTCAAACAATCTGCCTGCCTCGGCCTCCCGGAGGGCTAGGATTACAGGCGTGAGCCACTGCACCCAGCCCTCATTTATCCTGTACGTGCTCATGCACATGTGTGGTAGTTATATATCGGGTAGTATTCTAGGTGCTAACGATAGAGAAGTAGATATGACATGGGTTCTGCCCTCATGGAGCTCCTAAGCTGTTAAGAGAATCATATAAACCATTAAATTCAGAAAAATATACTCTAGTAAGGTATGGAATAAGAGGGCAAAGGAGAAGAGTGGTTAGCTGTAGATTAACTTGTTCAGCTATGTTGGCTTGGCTTTTTATGTGCTATTTAATTAATTTAATAGTTGGATGAGGAAAGTCTCATGCTTTTTATTTTTACTGAATTCTTAGAATAGAGAACTGATGAAAACTAATCAAATATGTAAACTAAACTCTGAACTATTTCTAAGTATGTTGAAAGGATAGATGTTTTGTTGTTATTTACTTCATGGAAGAGTGGTGAAAATTAGATACCTGATCACTTTATATTCTTGGTCTATTTTTTTAATTGATATGTAATGTACATATTTATGGGATAAATGTGATATTTTGATACATATATACATGTGTAATGTATACATGTATACATTCATAATGTCCAAATCAGGGTAACTGACATATCCATCACGTCAAACATTTATCATTTATTTGTGTTGGGAACATTCAAAATCCTTTCTTCTAGCTATTTTGAAATACACAAACAATTATTGTTAATTATAGTCACTATATTGTGCTATTGAACACTAAATCTTATTCTTCCTATCTAACTATAATTTTGAATGCATTAACTAATCTCTTCCTATCCCTTCACCCACCAATCCTTCCCAGCCTCTGGTAACCACTATTCTACTCTCTACCTCTATGGGATCAACTTCTAAACATTCACCTTTTTTAGTTCTCACATGAGTGAGAACATGTGATATTTGTCTTTCTGTGCCTGGCTTATTTCACTTAACATATTGACCTCTAGTTCCATCCATGTTGCAGTAGATGTCAGGATTTCATTCTTT